TGAAGATGATAATTCTACAACGTATATGTTTGGATATATTGCTCCTGGGAGTCTTGCTTAAATTTAATCCCAGAGAAACTGGATTTCAGGAAGGACTTCCTTATACCAGTGGACTGGGTGGTTGTACTTGTTCTGATGTCAATATAGTTCACTTCCATAGTGAACATTGTGAAAATAATTCCATTAACACTTCTAAAGAAACAGGTAGACTCCAGCTCTTAAGTCTATGTGGAGGAAGAGTTAAAATTAAATATTTAGTGTGTTTTGTATTTCTCTAATGAAATGAAGTTTTAGTGTTTCATTAGCATCATCTAATCATGGGTGCTATAGGTTAACTCTTTCATATAAAAACATTACTGACTAATTAAAGCTTAGCGTAATTACTTCCAAGTTATAATGTGAATACATGTGAAGACATCCTATGCTTAACTTGCGGGTTAGGCAAATGGAAAGGATCTGATGTGGGTGGTACTTGAGCATCTTTACTATGTACAGCCTTGCTCGCTAGTAAATATTATTCCTCTACCTTCACCTTAGAATGTGGCCATGGTGGCTCCGACTGGGATCTTTTTCCTATTTGTCCTCAAGTTCCAATAGTTGAGTAGAAATAGGGAGAAAGAGACATCCTTACCTAAACTAGATTCTTTGCTTTTCATGTTTTATACACTTGATCTTTCTTTTCGTATTTAAGAGAAAATGTAGATTGTGTCATTACAGGTCTGTACTTTAAAATTCAACATTAAACTTTAAAAGCTTAATTAGGTTTTAAATTCAAGGTCTATATAATCAGATGTGAATCAATTTTATTTGTAAAATTTTAGAACCAGTACTTGTGTTTTGTGAATCTAACCATTGTTTAGAAACTTTAGGCGGTTAGGAAATGGTATGTTTCGTGTGGTTTTAAGTCAGTGGAAGGTGTTGGGCTTTCTAGTTCGGAATTGCATACTCAGTAGGAGATGGAGCCAAGATTAAAAGCGTGAGCTGGTTTCCTCATTTTGCTGATTGATCAATATTACTTTACCTTGATAATATTTTTGATTTAATCATTACTTTAGTTTTTGAAAAATGAGAACAAGTAAAAGGAAAATCAAGAACCCAGACACTTGAAGTTGAAAATGTCATATTTCAAATTTCCCCTTTATTTTTGGAATTATCATCTGAACTAGTTGAGAACCATAGTTTCTTTGAAGGACTGTGAAGGGATCATTCATGAATTCTTGATTCCATCCAGGGTTGAAATAGACACTCATCTCTTACACAGATATACTGAATAACCAGGTTGTCTCTGTCACAGCGTAATAGCGGTGAACCAAGAGAGAATTTGAAAGTATCAGCACAGTTTTCTTGACACTTTCCAAGGTTATCTAAGGTCTAACAGCTGCCACCTTCATTCCTGAAATTTTACCTTTCCTTTCTTTTCTGAGATGTTCAACATGGAAATAGCCAACATGATGTAAGTGCTTAACAGTGTCAGACACTCTTCTAAGTGCTTCATCTCTATTAACTCATTTATTCCTCACAAAAACCCTGAGAGATGGGTTCTGTTCCACTTAACAAATGAGGATACCGAGGTACAAGAGAGGTTATGGATCTTGCCCACAATCATGACACTGATTGACAGAAGCAGGAAGCTAACCCAGGTAACCAGCTACTATAACTCATACTCTCAGTCACTTGGCTATATTGACAAGAATAGCTTATAAAGGGGGCTACTGTGTTTTTGTTCGGTGACAGGAATTATTATAGTGCATTCATTGTGATCTCTGTGAAAGGACAAAGTAGCTTACCTTTCTCAGTCAAGGAGCAAGGCCATGGGAAGCAAAAACAGTTTAGGAAGAAATGGTCAGTCTTGGGGCTTGTCAGGAATTCCCTAGGACAAAACTTGTAGATAGCTCATTGAGTTTGAGAGGAAACTCAGGGACTTGTGGTGAGTAGGAGAGAGAAGGAAGGATATTTGTTTACAGGGTTCCTAAGCATCTTGATCCACCCATATCCACCACACCCCCAATCTTGACTCTGCTATAGGAGTTGCATCTGTGATTTCAAATCCACTTTAGCATAAGGCCTTTATATTGTACATAGAAAAATGGACATTGAATGGAATGCTTTTCCCAAGTCTCAGGGAGAGTACCCACATATTGCTTGGCTTAAAATTATACTAGGAGTCTGCTTTCTTTCTTTGTCTTCTCCTAACATTTGATATAGCTGTTATGATTTCTCTCCTCTTAGCCAGAGCTGTGCACTGTCAGATAAATGCACACTTTTGCACAGTGCCCTTCTGTCTGGAAGGCCAGTCAACTTTCCCACCTTTATGAAATGGACTTGAATGATAATAACTGATGCCATTTATTGAGTTGCCTAGTATGTACCAAGCACATACCTCCTTTAGTCTTCATAACAATCCTGTGAGATAAGTATTAATTCTCTGTATAGATAAGAAAAATGGATCTCAGGAAGGATGAATGATTGTCCAAGGCCTCACAGCTAATTGGTGAAGTATAGTTCTGATGAAGCCTTTGTTTTTCTCATTGACTAATAATTCATTAAGGAGGCTCTCTTCATCTTTCTTCCTGAAAGCCTAAAAGCAGAACCATTCTTAAGCTGATAGACCTTTTTACTCTCTTAAATTGAAAGTACCTCTCAAGTAGAATGTGCAGCTGGTCCCAAAGTTTCTCCCTCTTGTGAGAAGAGGTGTTAATCTGTGAATAGCATCTTCTTTTTTTTTTAAAGATTTTATTTATTCATTTTTTCCCCCCAAAGCCCCAGTAGATAGTTGTATGCCATAGGTTCACATCCTTCTAGTAATAGCATCTTCTTAACAGAGCATGATTTATTGTTTCAAACAAGATTTAAAAAAAAAACTCCATCTCTTGTATGTGTATTTTGTTTATGTTGATGTTGTTGTTTGTTTTTTTAAAAGCTTGTCTGAGGCTGGAGGCCTCTGGTCTTTAGAATTGACCTTGGTGAGGATGTTAGTGAGTTCTTGAATCATAGTGGTGCAAAAAGTGACCTTCCTGTTTGGAGACCTATTCACTCGTGAGTGCCTACTTTGATAGGTACTTGACCTTCATTTCATGAATGGGGGATTACCACAGTAGGTCCTGGGGTCGTGTCGAGGTGTGGGGCTGCAATTGTTCTCAAAGAAAAAATTATTCGGACACTTGTTAAAATGGTAAGGAGGACTTCATTTAGGACTGGTGCTATAGGTATTGAGAATATCCCAGTAGAGGGGAGAAAGATCAGGCTCAACTGTGAATGCAACAAGAGCAAGTAGGGATATATAGCTGAGGAGCAGGTTGGAGGGAGGGCAGTATTGGTGGATGGAAAATTACTAAGAGGAGACATCAAGGGTAGGAGGATTCTTGGTGAAGGCAGGCCAAGGATTTATGCATCAAAGGTGGGAGATGAGAAATTTGATCAGGTATCCAGAGTGGGGGCTTCTCTCTAAACTGATTTGGCAGGATTCTTGCTAAAATTGGGCTCTGTGAGCCTAGTGAGGACAGGGAGCCAATGTGGAGGCCTACACAGGAAGAGGGCTCAGAGGTGCCGGACTAAAGATTGGTGAGGGAGAGTCTTTGTTAGGTCCTATTGCTTGAGCTAAATGTAAGAGTTCAGGTATTGGGCTTGAACCCATGGGGGATACCATTAAATGAAATGTAGAGTGAATTCCAGAAAAATATGTTTTCCTGCTGGTGCAGACTTCTGCAAAAGGTTGGCATGGGTGATCAGAATAGCTCTGAGAGGTGGGACCTTTGAAGCTTCCCTGATACTGCACTGTTGGATTGATTTATTTTTATTTTTATTATTTATTTTTTTGCTGAGGAAGATTCACCCTGAGCTAACATCCATTGCCAATTCTCGCCCTTTTCTGCTTGAGGAAGATTAGCCCTGAGCTAACATCCGTGCCAATCTTCCTCCATTTTGTATGTGGGACACCGCCACAGCATGGCTGATGAATGGAGCAGGTCCACACCTGGGATCCAAACTCGTGAACCCAGGCCACCAAAGCGGAGCTTGCCAAACTTGAACCACTTGGCCGCAGGGCCTGGCCCAGAGTGATTTATTTTTAATTTTATTTTAACAAACTTAAATAGTGCTTATTAAGTGCCAGAGTCTATTCTAAGCTCTTTGCAAATATAAACTTAGTTAATCCTCAAAACAGCTCTGAGGTGGTTGTACCATTGTTATTCACTCTGTACAGATGAGGAAACAGAGGCCCAGAGGAGCTAAATAATTTGCCCAAGGTCACATAGCGAGTAAGTGACGGGACTTGGATTTCAACCCAGGCAGCCTGGCTCCAGAGTCTGCATTCTTAATCACTCTCTTAGGTTGCATCCCAAGCTTTTGCCTCCCAGGGCTTTACTTCTCATTATTCTAGGCTTTTCTTTATTGTCTCCAGGAATAAAGAAGAATTCTTTTTCTGGTTTTAGTCACACTCTGGACTGTGTTCAGACTGAAGTCAGGATTGAATGTTATGTTGAGCTTGAGATCTCCTGTAAATCACGAGGTTATTGGTAAACAACCTTTCACATTGCCTTTCACCTTAGAGATCAAAACCACGTACCCTGCCTGCTCCACAGTCTGTATAGAATGACTGACATCAGTGACCCTTTCTCATCGAAGCTTTGCTGTTTTTTTTTTTTTTTTTTCCACTAGCAACTTCAGTAGCATTCCTTCTTTTTTTATAAATGTTCCATTTATAGGGAGTGAATGGTAAAACTCTGATAAAGTCTTTGGGAAATTGGCTTCCAGATAATACATGACTAGCACCAAAACTTTCTTAAAGGAGCAGATTCCCTTTAAGCAGAGCAGCAGATCCAGGTCCCAAAATATTTCTTTAATAGTCTCTTTAAATTCTGCTTAAATTTGTCAAGTTGGTATTTTAAAAGGTTCTGGTTAATATAGTATTAGCATCAAAGTTATATAATATAACGTGGAAACTCAAGCATTCCATGGTACCTTTAGTTTATGCCTTTTTTTTTTTTAACTTTTAATTACAGATCTGTCTATGGCAGTACAGAAATTCTCCCAGTCACTGCAAGATTTCCAATTTGAATGTATTGGTGATGCTGAAACAGATGATGAAATTAGTATTGGTGAGTACTACTATTCTCGCGTATTCTAAGTAATAATTTTAAAAGTTCTACTTCAGTATTGATTTCATTGAAATCAAGCAGATTCACACATCCAAATACTAAACATGTGAAATATTCTGACTTTGATAAAAATATCAGAGCAATTTTTGGTTACTATGGAAGAGAGTATTATAAATTGTTTTAAAATTGAGCTTTGTGGTTTTTTCCATAAGGAAATGACTTATTCTGTGAATAATTCAGCTCAGCCCTTTGAGAAGATGTGGATGACAATTGTTTGTCTCTGTCTCAAAGTGAATCATTCATTCAAACAAATGTAAATTGAGCATCTGCTATTAAATATACAAGGTACTGGTTTTAAGAATTATCTTTTGTTTTTAAACTTAATTCTGATTTCTCTTTTAACATGAGTATGTATTTATGAAGAAAGGAAAAAACAGTCATGTGGTATTGACCTAGTATTATTGTAGGACACAGAACATCACTGGGGATCAAGAGACTTGAGCCCTACTCTGACTTTGCCACAGTAATTTAGCATCTGACCCTGGGGAAGGCATACTCCTTCCTGAATCAGATGGTTTCATTCCCCATAAAGTGAAGGGGTTGAGTTATGTGATCTCTGAAGTTTTATCTATATCTGAGTTTTTTACTGTTTGAAGATCAAATCCATGTAGCATTCTTTCCCCCACATTTTAACAATCCCTACTTGCCCGTTGGTAGACATGGGGTCCATTTGTAGGCTAGATTAGAGACATGTCACATAATCAGAAGACCATATAAAATATATGTGTACATTTTGGAGAATAATATTAAGCGTATTCACCTTCTAGGTATAAAAACAGAATATTGTAAGTATTAGAACAGTGACTCTCAAACTTTATTGTGTGTATGAAACACATGGAGATTGTATTAAATGCAGATTCTGATTCAGAATGTCTCAGGTGGAGTGTGTGGTTCTGCATTTCTAACAGACTTGATTGAAGGTGATGTTGACACTGCTGGCCCATGGACCACACTTTGAGTAGCATGGCTTTATAATCCCCAACATGCCTCTCCACAATCACATTCCTCTCCTTCCTCTGCCGTTTCTTTTTCTTCTATAGTTTTGTCAGTTCATATGTATTTCTAAACAACATATTTTTATTATTTTTGAAAACCTAAGTAGCAAGTCCAAACCTAGCCGTGGAAAAGCAGTATTATCCCCCAAAAAGAGAGGCTCTCAGGAGAAGATAAGTTGAATGAGTTCTGGATTCATTGTGTGGCTTACATTCACAAGAGTTCCTTCTGGAGAAATCCTTGGACAGAGTGCAGAGTCCTTAGACAAGCTGTTTTTGCCTATGGGATTTGCATTCTGGGTACATCATTATGGTCAAGTTGGCAGTCTTTCAGAGGAGCTGGGCTAGGTGGTCACTTTATTTGCTTGCTCCTTTAGGAGTGTTAGTTACTCTGAGGTGGGTGTGGAGGTGGTTGTTCTCTTGGGATTAGGAGTGACTCCTTTTGCACTCTGTTCTATGATGGAAGGTGCCTGAGCTGGAACTGTCACTTACTTGGCTGAGGTGTAGTTAGGGAGCCTTTAGGAAGAAAGGAGAGGATTGCCACGCAGCCTCAAGCAACATGACATCTTTCTCTTTGCAGGATGAACGGGAAAGGGCAGGACTCGTGATCATGCACCACTGACATTTGGAACAATAGTAGTTGTCATTTTGTGTACCACTTTTTGACACTTGTGTTGAAATGTCCAGCCCCCAACATAGGCTTTGTAACATACACTTAGCCAGACAAAAGCCTAGATTGTCTTATTAAAATATTAATATATTAGCATTGTTATTTAGAAAAAAGAACAAGCACATATATAACAGCAATTATTTTTCACTTAGTAATGAAACTATAAATTCCAAGAAGGCAGAGGCCAGATCTGTTTGTTTTTTTTTTTTAAACATTTTAGCTTTAGTGGCTGACTCAACGCCTGATTCATGGTAGACCCTCAGTTGAATTGTTGAATAAAGGACATAATTTTCCTTATAAACTTTAATTTTTTCATGTGTGTGTATGTTTTTCTAGTAGAATGATATGTATATAATTT